GGTTCTGGACTTTTTATAAAGCTTAACAAATTATAAACAACTTTGTTAGAAACACCTAAAGCTAATTCTACTATTAAGAGGGCCCCACAGTAAGAACAAGGAAACCTTATCTGGGTTTGGGCAAAAACAGCCACAGAGATTTAAGCAACTATAACTCAAGATCTACTTAACCAAAAATCATGATATTTAGCTTTTTGAAAAGCTTAAGAAAATTACTACAACTCATGTATTTTCATCAAGTCATGATTCATAGCTTAACTGAGCCAATTAATTCAAACATGCAGAACTGTTCAGAGCAGGAGCAAAGCAATATAGGGCATTTGTTATTTTTATAATTCTTAAAATATAAATCCTAAACTCCTGAAATTTTTACCAGACAACAAAAATCACCTGATGAGCACTCCATAAAAATTTCACATTTATTTGAGCAAAAGAACTACAGTTATGAAAAAGGACAAGTAAGACTAACATTCAAACCCTAACTGCACAAATCCATTTTTACAGCTAAAACTTTAAACTAAAACATGTCATATTATAGATCTAATACATATACAATTTGACAAGGATTCCAAAAAGTCCTCATTTGCTATTTTACGAATTTCCTATGAATTACTATGAATTTTCAAAGTTCCTCATTCAAATCTATAAAAACAAAAGAAAAGACATGTAAATATTGCATCGGGGTCCCTGCAGAAATACAAATTAAATCCAAACAAACATATCCTTTAAGGCACTATTCATATGAGTCACGGATTCCTCACTTAACCCCCTGGAAAAGCTTCTATTTGTGCGGCGATCCGTCTTCTTCAAACTGAATCGAGCAGAGGAGGCCGTCGGGTCAGTCAGCAAGGGGGGCGTCGGCCGGCGGCGGTGGCCAGACAAGACAGGAAAAAGGGTCGGCTGGCTCTGCCATGGCTGTCTGTGGCCTTAGCCTGGCCGGCTGGAGCCAGCAGCGGGGTGGCTGCGGTGGCAGCGGCCAGAGGCGATGGTAGAGCGGCGCACCGGCGACCGAAGGCGAGGGCGAGCGCGCTGAGGCCTGGCCGGCTGGTTGCGAAGGAGAGCCGTGGCCGCGCCGGGGCCCTAGCTTGGCCAGCAGCGGGCAGTAGCTGCACGGCCGCATCCTGCGCGAGCAGCAGTGGGAGCTCGAGCTTCGCTCGGCGGCAATGGCGCCCACGGCAGCAGAGCGGAGGAGGGCGAAGGTGTGCGCGAGGGAGAGCCAGAGGGAGCTCGGGCGCTCGGCTTTCACTACAGGAGGGCGCAGGGACGCGGGTGCACGCGGCATGAAGGTGGGGGCGCAGCTCGTGCATGGCCACCACGCACGGGGCACGCGTCGCCTCTTTGAGGCATTCCACCGAGCGGCTGGCAGGTGACGGAGTGGGCCGGTTGGATCGCGTTATTAGGCTTGTTCTGGTCCGAACTAAGTCATGGGCCCTTAAGCAAGTTTGTTGCCCACATGATGGCCTACAAATTTCATTAATGGACCATGGCCATTTGAGCAATGGATTAGCAATTAATTAGGCTCAAAAGTGATAGTGTCAGCGCATTGATAACAGTCACGGGAACTCCCCTTCGGAGGTCAAAACTCGATCAAACTCAGTGCAACTTTTTGTATGCTCTTCTCCATAATATAACCTTCAACTTCTATTTTTGGACCAACTCAAGTTGCTTAGAAAAATTTGGAGAACGCGGAATGTCGATGTCGTTGCTTAGCGAAACTCCAGTCTTAGAAAAATTCTAAGTGCTGAAGGCTGCAGCAGAAACAATCTTGTGACCTTTATTTGTCAAGCTTAGAGATAGATATAGACTTGGGTCCTTAAATAAAGTTTGTAGTACACAAACTATACTGCAACTCTTATTTAAGGTCAAACCTTGTATCTTGAATATAAACCATTCTTTTACTTTGGTCAATGCAGCATCTCGTTAACCCTAGGATTAGAGTTTTTGACCAATTGAGGTATTTTCTTGACTTCTGCTCAACACGAACCCTTCATGACTTTTGTTGTAGAGTTCATCTAGAGTCATTTGGGCAAGGTTGCAAGGTTTGATTGATGACCTACATTTCCATTCACTTAATAGTGCAATTCAAGCACTTAGTAAAGACATTCCAATAAGGATATAACTTATCATTTCATGTGACTTCTTGATTCCAAACTTCATGAAACTTTTCCAATCATTCATGTGGGTGGAAATTGATGTGAGGCACAGGAAAGAAGAACCTTCAACATTACTTAGGTATATATTTGAAAAGGGCCAATATGCAAGCAAAGGTGTGTTGCCCAAGTTTAAGTTGGAGCTCACTCTTGTAGATTTGAACTTGACACCTTCATCACCACTTAACATGTCATGCTTGAGCTCAAACCCGTCGCTTAACTGGTGGCAACACCTGGGGTGTTACAAGTACCACCGACCACCATTTGTAGCTGGCGTGATCGACCCACAGAGGTCGCCGTGGACGAGCTCGAGAGCGTCCTTCGCGCGATACTTGGCCACATTTGGGAAAGGTAGCCTCCTCTGCTTCCCGGCTAGGCAGCTGTCACACAGCTCGCCTCCATGTTTGATGTGGGGTAGCCCTCGGACCATCTTCTCCAGCCGACCAAGCGTGTCGAAGCTGAGATGTTCGAACCGGGCATGCCACATCCACGGTTCCTCGGAGTGCCTTGCTGCCAGGCACACCAGCTGCTCTACCTTCAGGTCGAGCAAGTACAACCGGTTCAGGGACCTCTTCACCTTGGCAAGAAGTCGCTACTCCCGGTCCCTAATCCTAAGGACTTTGTCCTTGATCAGTACCTCGCTACCGCGCTCATCCAGCTGACCAATGCTGATGATGCTGGAACACAGCTATGGGATGTAATATGCATCCGTTAGCGTGCGGTGCTCCCCGTTCTGGCACCTGAAGATGATGGTGTCGCGCCCTTGGATAGCCACCCTTGAGCTGTCATCAAACTTTACCGTACCGGTAACATCATCGTCGAGCTCAGAGAAGGATTCCTTGGAGCCCGTCATGTGTTTACTGGCACTAGAGTCTAGATACCACCGCTGCTCCTGGTCGGCGCCCACACATCCGAGGTGGACTTGGGCGCGTGGTTCGTCGAGGTTGACGGTCTTCAGGGCCTTCCCAAGTCCTTCCACCATCGTCACCTCTTCCCTCTCCTTGGCCTCGACGTCATGCAGTGCATAGAACATCGCCATCAGCATAGTGGCCTCATCCTCATCATCGGTTTGCGCCAAGTGAGCCTGAGCCTTCTTCTCCTGCTTGTGGTTTGGGCACTCCCATGCCCAATGGCCCATCTTCCCGTAACGCCGGCAGGCGTTGGGGTCGACCTCCTTCTTCTTCTCAGGAGAAGCCTTGCCGTGGCGCTTGCCATCGCCACCGCGGCTGGAGAAGGCTGCCTTTCCAGAGTTCCTCGAGCAGCCCACTCCTCTTTCGTCACCAGGAGTTTCCCGCTGTCCTTCGTTGCTGTCGCCTGCTCCAGGCGCTCGTCCACCGCTCACAGACGGCCTATCACATCCTCAATAGTGAGGGTGGACAAGTCCAACATCGTCTCTATAGAGAGAGCGATTTGGATGTACTTTACCGACACGGAGTGGAGGTACTTTGAGACCGCCTCCTCTCATCGATGGTGACGCCGTGGCTCTTCAGCTTACTGATGAGCGTCTGCAGGCGGAGAGAGAAGTCCTCCACCGTTTCACCATCCTTGAACTTGAGGTTGGCATACTCCTGCTTCAGAAGCTGGGCCGTTGCCTTCTTTGCGCGGTCGGAACCGACGCGCATCGCCGCAATAGCCTCCCACGCCTCCTTAGCCGAGCTCTTCGCCCCTAACGGCTCCCTGTACTCGTCGGTACAGCAGCGAGGATAGCCTACAATGCTGACATGTCATCCTCCTCATTGTTAGTGCCCTTATCAACAGCATTCAAGAGCCGTTGGGCTCTAAGCTTGATCTTCATGGTCACCGACCACTCTTCATAGTTGGTGTGAGTCAGCGTCGGCCAACTGGTGCCACTGACCTCCTGCACCATGCGAACAACGACCTCCGGTCGTGGCTGGCAGCCACACAAAGAAGCATCGCTGTCGCTATCTCTCGAACCACCCGCCATCGCCCCGTTAGTGCGGCGATGACGTCGTCTGGCTCGATACAACTTGTTGGCCCACAGGATCACCGGCTCAGGTGAGTGAACCACTCACCAGTCTTGTCGAGCACCCGCTAGTGTTGTCGAGCACCCACTAGCCGTGCCGACCACGAACAGGCGTTGTCCGTCCCCACATACTATGGCTAGAGCTAGAAGAAGAAGAGAGAACAGAGCATGCACACACAGTACAAGACACTAGCGTTGGCCGAAGCCCTGTCTGAGAGATGGTAAATCTAAACTCTTTTTACTGAGTTGACGTGGTAGTCTATTTATACAACTCTATCCATCTAGTCCCAGTACAGCTGTCCTGCTGCAATAGTGACTAGATAACATATAGGGCTGACTCTGCGCCGGCCACTGTATGTGCCTCTGATCTTTGCAAGTAAGCCGTGTGTGGCGCACCACTGCAATGCTACAAGATGTTACAGTGAGGGGGCCTTTTACACCGCAGTTCTATATTGATGTTCACACAAGGTAAAATAATTATCTAACAACTAGTGCACCTTACCACTGGCAGTCCTATATTGATGCTAATATAAAAAAACAATCACCAATGCCTACGCATAATTTCAGATAAGCCATGCTTCTGCATGCCATTCTGTCGTCGTGCAGCACTATTTGGGGGGGGCGCTGTCCTTTTTCAACTTACAGTTATTTTACAGCCTGTTCGGCTGGAATGGCTGGCTGGCTGGTGCTGGCCAGCCCTCTCACGCGGACACTGTTCACATGAACAGTGTCTTACAGCCAGAACAGTGTTTTTCTATCACACTAAATCAGCCAGCAGTAATAATCAACGAACTAGCAGCTCCAGCCGAACAGGCTCTTAGGTTTAACTATCCTTTGTTAACATTTTAAACTTATTTTGATCACAGGTAGAACGATTCTCCCAGGAACATCAAGATGCTGTAGAATGCTACAAGCAACAGAGGTTTCACATTTGAAGAAAACAATAAAGAGTACTAAGGGTTTCAAAGAATTCCAAAAGATCATTGACATAAGAAATTTTACAAAAGAGAAGATTGAGCGCTTGGAAGCTAGATCCCGTCGCTTGACTCGACGGATAAGACAAATTGAACCGACCGGTTGGAAAGAATTTCTCCAGGTTACCATGCATCTTTTTCTATATTCATATATTTTTTCCAAGTATCTCTTCATGCATCAATTTCCTTATGTTCTTTTCTGATCTTATAGCTGAACTACATTTTAGGCATTGCAGTATGAGCTGCTACATCCATTGAAGGCGATGTCCCTCACGCCTCGCCCTACTCCCCTCTTCCACCAATCATTCCCAATTTGGGCATTTGGGCACAATGGTGCCTTGCTCTCTTACACTCACTCATCATAAGTAGCACTTGATAATTCTTAAAATCTGATGGTTTCTACCATGTCTCTACATACATAGGTCACATATGGTGTTCATTTGCATATTGCTTGTCTATCCGTATGTTTGCCATCGATGGACCTTTCATCAGGAATTAATTTGTGGTTCTCTATATGAAATATTTACCAGATTAGCAAAGTCATACAAGAGGCTAGAGCATTAGATATCAATACTCAGGTAATCCATCCTTTGGGTTGAGACGGCAGTGGCTATACGAGGGGAAAACGAGCTCTGGCTTGCTATGGTTCTAAGGAACAAGGTCCTCTTGGATCTAAAGCCATCTCAACTGGCAGCAGTTTGTGGAAGTTTAGTCTCAGAAGGGATCAAACTTCGTCCTCGGAAAAATAGCAGGTGCAGAACTGTACTACCTCTTTTGTTTTTCATGTTTATGTTTATAACTTGCTACATACTCCTACATTTACTTGCTTAGTGTCCTGATATATATGATGTGATGTCTACATTTTTTTTTGCGACCACAGTAAGCATGTTTTTCCTTAAGAGGAAGAGAAAGTTACAACACACAGTCCTAGTAAGCCTAGTTTTACCAAGACCAGCATGATCCTTGCAAGACTAATCTAAGAAGTATTACCAGCAAAGTTCACAATTAAGTAATTACATAAAAACAATTTGCGACCGGATGACGAGCAGCACTAAGAGAAGCAGCAAACAGTGACACAACTAGCAGCTAAAGGCGACCCCTCTAACTCTAAGCAACCAAGACCACACACAACAAAGTTCCTAACAGCATAGCAACGTACCCAGCCATTGAGGCCATGCACAGTCCACATGAATATAGTGTCTGTTTTCATGGAAACACTTGCATGACAAGTGGGCAGAAGGATCTGTCACCTAGTAGGCCAAAGTAGCCGCGATTTCACTCCCCCAATCAGAACCAGGGAAAAGCTGCCTGACGGATTCATGTTTCGATGAGGAAAGTGAGCTTGCAGAGGTCTTTCAGTACTGCACAAATGAATTAGCATCCGGTGTCTCCTTGTCCGTGGCAATGCCAAGCTTCCTGATGAGATATCTACATAATATAGAGTTCCTTATCCAATTTTGTTTTCAGCAGCAAGATTGGTTCAAATGCGCTTGCATTTAATTAAAATATATCAATGGGACAGATATCTGTCACATTAGGCTGTCTAAAAATGTGGATATATCAATGGGCAGGTATCTGTCACATTAGCCTTTCTAAAAATGTGGATCAGCACATTGTTTGTCTCATATATGTTTTCCACTGTAACAATTGTAGTATTTCGCTAACAAAGATAATGACAGCTCAACCATGCTGTTGTACTCATTAGAGTGTCTATTCGCAGTTGTCGTACAATGCAAGCCCTATTTAGCAGTGACATAATGCCCCTACCAACATGTTTAAAAGTTTTTTCGTTTACAATTCTGTTCCTAGTTTTTCCTCATGAGAAAAATACACAAAGATTTAGAACAATGTCCAAAGACGGACTAGCAATGTAGGAAATTTGATGTCAAAAAATTACAGATACCCTGTAGGCTGCAGTCTTGGCCTTTTCCCTCTTTATTTAAGTATAAGAATTCATTAATACACTTTCATCTGTATATGCTTGATAGTTCTTTTTTAAAAAAAATGTTTGGTCTCTTCTTAATGATGTCCTGCTGACTGTTTGGCTTTTTGCAGCTATGTATATGAACCTTCTTCTGTTGTTACTGGTGTTATAAGTTATTTAGAAGAGCAGAGAAATTCGCTAATTGATCTCCAAGAGAGACATGGTGTTAAGGTTTGGCATATCATGCTCCTGTTTATTAGTGTTGTTTGTCCAATTGTTGTCTTCTCTCTGCTTTCTGATTTGTTTATTCCTTTGCATATAGATACCTTGCGAAATAGATGCCCAGTTTGCTGGGATGGTTGAAGCCTGGACTTCAGGGTTGACCTGGAGGGAGATAATGATGGACTCTGCAATGGACGATGGAGATTTAGCCCGTCTACTCAGGCGCTCGATAGATTTACTAGCTCAGGTCTGTTATCAAGCGAGCAGACTCATTAACCAATGTTTCCCGTGGATTATCTATTTTTGATAGTGCAATACTCTGTCATGATGCAATTACACTGCATAATATTTGGCTTAATTTTCCAGATTCCAAAACTGCCAGACATTGATCCAGTTCTCCAAAAGAATGCACAAATTGCTTGCAGCGTCATGGACCGAGTACCGATTAGTGAGCTTGCCGGTTGAAAGCCCAAAACCTGTAAGTACTACTAACAGAGGGTTTGCCCGGCTGCTTATTTTACAATTATTATAGGTAGGCAATTCTTTGTTGTACCATGAAAAATAATTACCAGTTGTCACAATGAAATCCAAGAGCAGTTCATACCCCACTGGCTAAACATGCTTTTCAAGAAGGTCAACAATTACAGTGATTGATTCAAGGAATCAGAATTCAGAATGATGAAAAAGACAAATTGCATCACGTCTGAGGTTCGTAGGATTGTTCATCCAAAAAATTCTCACTGCCAATTCCAGAATTTCCAACCACCTGACCCAATCAAAAGGATATGGAAATCAAAGCGCAGCAACAAGCTCTAGGTTTTCTCATGGCTTCTTCTAGATGCCTGAACACCAGAAATATACTCAGAATCAGAACTGCGGTGTCAATGGATATGACTATTAAGTGGGTACTGTGCCACACAAATATGGAAGAAACAGTGCTGCATCTCTTCTTTGGATGTCAATTCAGTAAAGCCTGTTGGCATTGGGTTGGTCTCACCTGGATCATGCCTCTACCTTTTTTCAGCATGATGACGCAAGCAGGAAAAAAAATTACAGTTACTTTTCTTCATTCATGGTGATTTTTTTATAATAGTAGCCTGGAAAATTTGGAAGCAACGGAATGGAGTCAATTTTTTTAAAAGAGACCCAACATATCTTCTGGCATGGCTGGGATCTCTTTCCTAATTGTCTCTCTATGTCCAGGTCTTCTCTCCCTTTTGTTAACTTTTTAGCTTTTGTATTTGTACAATGCCCTTACATTTTCTTTATATAGCTACCGACAGTAGGGGTTTTCCCCTAAAAACAAAGATATCATTTCCAAGCAATTGAGATAAACACATCAAAATTTTTTACAAATTTCTGTAGAATTCTATTGGGTGCTCTCGATATGGATCTTGATTGAAGAAATGGACAAAAGAACGTATGTAAAAATTGCTTTATCTACAGTTTGCAGCTATCCTATACCTCTACAACAACCAATTCAAAACAATGCAAACAATCATTTACAGCCACCCGTTCAATCTATTCCTCGTCACTACTTGAATCAGAATCTGCACTATCCTTCATGAAGTGCGCTGGTAGGTTTGGAAATCTTGGCATGACCCTCTTCCTTTTGATATCTGCCTCTTCTGGTGGTTTCTGAGCTGGTGCTGCTTGACCATCGGTCGCTGACGCTGTCGCTGCTGTTGTGGCCGCAGTCGCCACCGTGGGGGCAGCAGCTGTGTTTGGCTGCGATGACGACGGTGCTGGTTTCTTCTGCTGCACTTTCCTCTTGATGTCCACACATGCCTGATCAACCGTACCCAGGAAGTCCCTCACTACGATGAACAGCTGAAGGGGATGTGCGTTCCGTTCCTTGGTGGCACCGGCATGGTAGTACTCTGTTGTCTTCTGGACCAGCTCAAGTACTCTTTCCTGCTCCCTTCTTAGTGCCTTCAGCTCCTGTTCTGCAGCCTTCTCAAATCCTCGCAACCCCCTCGCAAATCCATCATCGCTGCAGGTCTCCAAAAGCCTCTTGATCTCATTGAGTCGGCTGTCTAGAATGGCACACTCGCTGACAACTGCATCGTAGTCGACCAGTGCGGCTCTCTTCACGTTGGCAAACTCTGTGCTGAGACCACCAACAATTGGTAGCCCCAAGTTCATGTATTCGTTCTGCCTTTCCTCCCGTGATGGCCCCTGGCTTGCAAAGCCTGCTGCTGAACTGCCTCCCTCGTGGCCAGACCTTGCGAGACTGCCTGAGCGGCGGATGCTGTGGTTACGATTGATGGCAAGCCGCTTTCCCTCAGAGCGAACAACCTCCTCAACGACGAAGTGCAGCAACGTGGTGCTCCCATCAGTGCTCTTCACATCAGAGAGCTTGCGGAGCGCTGTAAGGTTGAAGGCCTGCGCGTTGCCACGTGCTGTTCCAGCATTCATCCTGTTTCCTGCCTTGAGCACGGCCTCGAGCAGCTTGAAGAACAGGCCCTTTGTCCTCAGCTCCTGGCTTGCCAATTCCAACGTCCGAAGCGAGTGCTTGAGCTGCGCAACCTCAGCACCATAGTTCACCTTGAAAAGCAGCGCATTGACGCGCGCAATCGGATTGGGCACGTCAAGGAGGAGGCGGAGGAGGAAGGCCTCCGTAGGGGCAAGCCTGTCGGGGTTCCCAGAGAACTTCAAGATGGTGGACTCTTCTTCTTTAGAGATGTGGAGCCGCGAAAGCTTCTCCAGGACCTCAGTGCTGAGTTCTGTGTGCCCATCCCGGAGGGTGTCGATTATTTCATCCCACCCCACCGTGAGGGACTTCAGGATGATAGAAATATTGTGCGACTTGCGCGGCTCGAGCAGGAATATTTGCTCTGGCGTGTTTGAGCGCCCGAGGGCCGACGATCCGGCGGATTCCTTGGAGTCTGCCGATTTCGGCTTGCGGTTTGCTGCTGCAGTGCCGAATAGAGCCTCGATGATGCCCTCGTCCAAGCTGGAAAGACACCAGAATTGACACAGTAAGGAACTTGAGATGATATTCCATCTATCACAAATAAGTGTTGGGAAAAACATGTGTTTTCTGAGCACTATGTAATACTAGTAATTCATGTCAAATTGCTCGTATCAAAATGTTAACGACCTGAAGTTCAGAGTACTCCTACGCGCACAAAAAGGCACCACAGCATCCGATCGAAGATGCTGCGACGTCAGTCCACCGAAAAAGCGACAGCCATGGTTTGTCGATACCATCGAGGAACGTGCTCCTGCCAAAATGCTAGCGAAAAGTTTTCTCCAAAATTTACTGTTTACCTCGTCTTTGCATATTCTGGGGGGATTCTTTTTCATGCCAACTCTAGTGAACCTGCGTGATTTCTCTCTACTCTATAGAAATACTCCTAGAGCTCAATGCTGCTGATTAAAATTAGTCTAAGGTTTCACAAAACACGCAGTGTCTGATTGATTTGCATGGTGCTCCCACCTGAACTCTGAACTTCAGGTCCTGAATGGTACTTGGTACTCCACTACTCCATCCGTCCCTAGTTCCTACTGATCCTAGTGACATTGTTGTCCTAGCGTGCTCATGAAGCGCCTAGAATGAAATTCTTACACCTATCTCGATCGTATAGTGGCTGTACTACGGTAAACAACAATGGAAATGAGAAGCGGTGTTAAATTCAGGGGGACTTACTTGAATGAACCACCGGTGATCTTGTCCCACACCATGGAGTGGTCGGTGGACTGCACATTGACCTTGTCCCAATGCAGCGGCTTCAGCTTCGCCTGCTGCTCGCCGGCCCCGGATGGCATGCCCGGCGCTGTTGGCGGCCTAGAAGAGGACGCCGATGCCCCACCCTTTGGAGGTGGCGGAGGCGGCCCTCCTTTCTTTCCTCCTGGTGGCGGAGGCGGCGGAGGGGATGGGCCTTTGGGCGGTGGCGGTGGAGGCGGGCCACCTCTGGGAGGTGGCGGCGGAGGTGGGCCCTTGGTCGGTGGTGGCGGCGATGCGGCTGCTGGTTTTGGAGGTGGCGGTGTAGGCGACGCGACAGAGGCAGCGACCATGGGTGGCGCAGGTGGCGGGCTTGCTCTCCCAGGCGGTGGCGGCAGCCCAGGCGATGCGCTTGGCGAGGCGGCAGGTGCAGGCCGCGGAGGCGGGCGGGGCACGGAGCTGACAGCGACTGCCGGGGTCGGCGGCGGCGGAGGACGCGCGGACACGGAGAAGGACGAGCTGGAGCCGGAGCTGGGCGGGTGCAGCGAGTCGTCGAACACGGCGGACGCGGAGTCCAGGGAGCCCACCGGGATGAGCGGCTCCTGATCTATCTTGTTCCTCCTGGACCGTCGCGGCGGGGACGGCGGCGATGACGACTGCTGGGGCTCCGGCCACATCTCCGCGCGCCAGTGCTGCTGCTGTTGCTGCCGGGGCGGAGGCGGCTGCGGGGGGCGCCTGCTCCCCGTAGGCTTCCTCCCTCTGCCGCCGCCTTCGCCGTCCTTTTCGAACTCCCTCCAGTATATCGCGTCGAGACCGTTCTCGTCCACCATGCCGAAGCCGCCCCCGCCTCGCGGGGGCCGCCTCGGCTCCCTCTCCGGCCGCTTCCCGGCGAAGGCGCCCTCCAGCGGCTGGTTAGGATACCCATTCCCGCCCCCGGCCGTCGTCAGCTCCTTCTTCCTCCCGTGGCGGATGAAGAGGAAGAAGGCGAGGCCCGAGACGGCGAAGCTGCTGAGCGCCGTGCTCACCACCGCCACCGCGATGTCGCTGCGCTTCACGGACGACGACGAGGGCGGCGGCGGCGGGGCGGTGACGGGTGACGGGGACGGGGGTACGATCGCCGGCGGCGGGGTGGCGAAGGCCGGCGTGCGGGTGGAGGGGAACGTCGTCTGGATGTTCCGCTGCGGCTGCGCGGCCGCAAGTGGGGAGAGGGCCACGGCGACGGCGAGGAGGAGGAGAAGGGGGAGGAGCGGGCGCGGACGCGGCGCCATCGGCGTGATGAGGTGGGGTGGGGTGGGGGAGGTGGAATGGAAATTTGACGGGGGGCGGGATGTGGGACGAGGTGGGCGTGATTGACTTGGCCGGCCTGCGGGCTTTTTTGCGTTTGTTTTACTCGGTCCGGCCGAGCCGGGACGACACGACGGCCGAGAAGACGCGTCGTGTGTGGTGCCGTGCCTGTGGAACGCAGGAGGGAGGGCAGGGATGACCGTGACCCGGCGCCGAGGCGGAAACCGCGCTGCCGCTTGCGGTTCCTCCGGTCGCCCCACTGGGACGCGGGGTTGAAACGGCGAGGGTCCCATCTCCCATGGACCCAGGCGTCGGTCCATAGTAGGGGCACGTAATTTCGGGACGATCCATCCGGATGTGGAAGTCGGGGCTCGCGGAGCGTCGCAATCGAGTGTAAATCTGGCAAGTCGTGCCTCCGCCGGCGCCGGGTGAAACCGTGAAAGCTCCGATTTACAGCGACACCCACTCCTGGGCTCCGGGCTTTGCCTGCCTGCCTGCCTGCTTCTCGCTCACTTTCTCAGCAAATCAGTTTCCACCGCAAAGGTTGCTGGGATTTGTTTTTAGGTCAAGACCAACTGATTGCGCGTTCGCCCAACGGCACCTTTTGTGTTTTGTTTGATGAGTGCTAGCTGCAGCAATTCCATTCCCTGCTGATATCTAGTGGATTTGGCTGGGCCGCACATGGCCGGTGGACGGCAGGGCGGGAGTTCCAAGCCCGCGTTGTTGGATTCGGCTGCCAGCTCCAATGACCTGGTGCCTGGTGGTGGTAGATCGCCGGCTAAGGCCTGGTTTAGTTCAAAAATTTTTATCTAAAACTATCACATCGAATCTTACGGTACATACATAGAGTATTAAATATAGATAAAAAAACTAATTACACAGTTTGATTAGAAATCGCGAGACGAATGTTTTAAGACTAATTAGTCCATGATTAGCCATAAGTGCTACAGTAACTAACATGTGCTAATGATGAATTAATTAGGCTTAATAAATTCGTCTCGCAGTTCCCAAACGAGCTATGTAATTAGTTTTTTTTATTAGTATCCGAAAACCTCTTCCGACATCTCTGAAACATCTAATGTGACATCCAAAAATTTTCATTTCGCGAACTAAACACAACCTAAGTACACAATGAGTCCAAACTCCAAAGCCCACAGTGAATGCTGGTGCTAGCCTGGCGCTGTTCTACTTCGTTTCTGAATGAAAAAACAGTTAATGCTGATGCTGACTTCGTAAAAAAATATATTATTTTGTTCAAATAGTACGGCCGAAAGGTTGAAACGAACAGAGCACGATGCTGTGCTGTACTACGCTGATAACTCGCGTGTCCGTGTTCGTGTGCAGTAGGCACAGGCGCACTGCCCAGTGCGCACAAGGCTTCGTGGCAATTCATCGTGCATCCCTAGAGTTGGTGTAGATGTGGTGACGCGAGCAAAGACTGCTTCTTCTGCTGCATCATAATAATAGACAATTAGACACGAGTTAAAAGACCGTTTCTTCGATTACTCCTACCCTCGTCAGGGGGAAAATGGTACTGGTACCTCCGTCTCCTAGAATTTTTTTATTTTTAACATTTTTTTAAAACTATTTTTAAATCTGACATTGTTTAATTTTTTTTTCTTAAATCTAATATTTTTGGCCGAGCCTATTCGCATGGCGCGGCGAATTCTAGCTGTCGTGCCATACATGGGGGCGCGGCAGGGGTGGCAACGCCCGACCCGCTGGTCGCTGATGTGGTGGGCCCGACGCGCCGTGCATCATGGCACGACGGTGCCACGCCACCCATAATGGCTCGGCAAGGCTGACGCGCCAGCCGCTATGGCGCGACAAAGCTGACGTGCCCCTAGCCATGGCGTGGCGGTTAAAGCAGCAGCAAATGGAACAAGGCACTTCTGTTATGTTCTCGCATGAGCCAAGTTATTTCGTCGTGTCGGTTTAACGAATAGGTCAGCAGGAAGGTTAAGTGCACGAGACAATCAATACACAAGTTCAACAATACTAACTTGTACACGTCTCAAGTTCATCGCAAGTTCGACAATACCTCTGTTCGACATAAGTTCAGCAAGTCATAACTACAGCACAAGTTCATCAATACATAAATTCGACATTACTCGACATACTACATGTTCCATCAGTATATGGGTGTCCGAGTACAAGTGTATCATGTCATCCTAAAGAACTCCTATGACCTAGGAGTATATGGGTACCGCGAACGTCGCTGCCTCTTCGGACGTGAAGGCAGCACGTTAAGGGTGAACCCAACGTCAGTACGGTCTCACTGGTGGTACACCCGACGATACTACTGAGTGTAATTAGGACCCCTGCAATTACAATATAGACATCGTTACTTATAATGTTTAAGTAATTATGACGGATATGGAGAAGGATTGTTTCAAGTACCTGTTCGTCGAACTGTGTAGGAAATGGTGCATCACCAAGCTGAGACATCCCAATCTCATCGTAGTCCTCCTCCTCGTCCTCCTCATCCTCGTCCTCCTCAACGTCGTGCTCCGCAGGACCCTTGCCTGCATTGTCGGGAGTACGAACATAAGAGGTTCCATCAGCCATCGTGTCGGAGGAACCTGCTCGTGTTGGCATAGTGCTCGAGCGTAAAGAACTAGACAGGTCCGGATCATAGGGCATCTCCCACGGAGTATCCACGCAGCTAAGCTTCTGTGCCAGCTTCTTGCAGCTCCTCCTCACTTTCTGAAAAAAAAGAAAACATGGATGGATGAGTCATGGGAACCATTTAACCACTGTCATGGCTTTGAGAATAGAGCGTACATCGACGAAGACGTGTAGAATGTCGTGTGGCTCCCCTCTGGTCTCGTGAAGTCGCATGGCTGCTTCATTGGACAGACTTGTCAACTGTGATGCTTGCATACACAAGCGAGCTAAGTTCGTATCACTACAATTCATAGGAACGCCGACGTGCAGTTATATTCAAATTCAAATTTCTTACCACGTATCTCTGTAGCGGGGCTCTCTGAAGCTGTGTCTCCATCCTTGTCGCCTCGTCGTACGCATCAGCGATGTCATTCTCGTCTTCGTCCTCATCAATTGGCTTGTTAGTGTAGGGGGCCTGCATATGTGTGCGGGTACTCCTATGCAACCATTGGAGGTAGCGGTCGAAGTTGCGTTGGTCGTGCGGCGGTATCTCGACGATCATGACCCTTTGCCGACTGTCCCAGTCGTGGATGAACGTGACGTGCGTCACGACCCAATTCTTATCAGTTTAATATCTGTTCTTATCAGTTTAATATCTGATATGTGGGTTATGTGTCCACTTTGATATTAAATTTATTTTTTGTGGTGAGGGATTATTTCAGGGGCTTGCTACTGGGTCCCTTGAGCGTCGCCCAGCTGTTGCATTGTTTTGTTAGTCAGCGCTAAAAAATTGTTGGACTAAGAATTTTTTTGTCTTTTACTCCACGTCAAAATTTTGAAACTTAGACTGAATTAGTGTTACTTTAGTACGTATTGGTTTAACAAACAATTTCCTTGCAATCGAAGCAGATCAGCCAAACCACAAATTACCTACGCAGATGTAAACATGCTCTAAGTCGTCTCCACCTATCCAGAAAAAAGGTTCGTATGAATAGTGTCCCAATATACCTTAAATATCTCATATATGAAGACAAATTATTTTGAATGTGCATCCTTGTATCTTACGACGAAGGGAGTAGACAAGGTTAGTGGTAACACCCACGATTTGTGTGGATGTAAAAATAATTTTGGTGAAAGCCAACTGTTAGCACGAAGAAACGCCAAGAAAACTAGAGTTAATGCTGCAATCGGTTGGTTAGGTTACTCATGATTTGATCAAAGTTCTTGACTTAGCATAGGTGCTTGTATTTTTCTAGTTATATTCTGTAACTTAAAAATGGTTTTCTTTGTGTGGCACGGGTCACATCTACAAGTAGTGAATATTCTATGAAAACTTTGTCAACATTGACTTATCAGCTATAAGTGTTTATAGGATAGGTTGTGTATGCATGTATTCGTAGAAGTGATTGTGTGTGGGTGGACAGGGGGGAGGGGCTTCTGCATCTATATCGCGTTTAAAAAATAGAGTTAAAACTATTTTAGAAGAAAGTGCAGACTTAGTTTTCCATGCGTGCAAGACTTAGTTTTCCAAGCCGTAACTGCGGCTCAGCAAACAGGCCCTGAGGGCTTACGAAACAAATCATCAATCATCGACCACCTAAACAGAAAGGGGCGGAGCTGCGGAGCGCAGCGCCGTGGCTCAGCCGTTCGGGGAGTTAGGATGCTCTCTGGCGGCCCATTAGGAGGTGGTTGCAGCCCACGCTGCTCGGACAGCCCAGCAGGTCGCCTTGTGCACTAGGGGAGGCTGGCTGTGACATGTGGGGCGTTGATCGAGCAGGTGCACACATTGATTTTCCCTCATCTGCTCTCTCAGTCAGTTGCAACGAGAGGATAATCACCAACCGAGAAGCGACGGTCCTAACGATGGTTCCTAAGCTCGAGTTTCTTGACTGGCTTGTAAAACTTTATATTATATATAGGTTTATTACATCAGCATCTCAGCATTTTCCAAGCTAGTTGAGCCTTATTGCTATAGGCATGCATCTCAGTATTTCCCAATCTAGTTAAGCATTGTTGCTTTAGGCACCGATTTGTTTCCGCTTATAATTGTATGTATTCTCAGTTGTTAATACGTAACTCTTATAAATCTGAATAGGTCTAGCTAATTGTTCGCTATGTCAAGTAATAACTATCATACTAGTTGGACAAAATCAGCTAATATTACTTGTGCACTATTAGCTAGCTAGCTATTAGAAGCTAATGGATCCAGACAGGGTCTTAATTTTTAATATGAAACTGATATGAGGTTGTCTAGAGAAGACTTATATTTAATCATAGTTTAACTATTTTGTGCCATTTTCCATAGTATATTCGTAGACCCTATTTGGATCTATTAACTGCTAATGTTAGCTATGAGATATTGGCTAGCTAATTATTA